CCACCTCCATTTGCAGTTACTCCTTTAGTTGCTCCTCTGAAGCGGGCTACACTAGTAGTACGAGTTGGCGTCTATCCACAAGATTAGGAGGACACCTACCGGTATGGCTGAAGTAATTTGAAATTAAGAGCCTACGACAGGTCGACCATCGTGCACAACGATGTCCACCGTGTGCTCCACAGACAAATGAAGCAGGCACGGTGACTTTAGCGTGAGTTAGTTTTTGGTGGTAGTAGACTTGCGCAACATCTATCACACTCTCTCCCCCCACCTGGGCCCGGTCTCAAGAAGACCGGGGGTGGGGGGAGGACGCAGGTGGATGGCGCGGCCGGGACGACACCTCGACGCTCCACTCCAGACCCCTGGTCCACACAGCAAATAACCAGGATTTCGACCAGTAACAAGAGGGGGGGGGGGACAGGGATACCAGTGCGCGTGATGTGAGCCGGCAAATGGGTCCGCCACCACACCGAATGTTGGCATTTGTTATGGGCGCGCATTCCACAAAGCCTGTTGGAATCCATTACTGCTCCCTTGTTGGCCCAGCGCATCTACCGCGTGGTCCTTTAGGGAGGCAAAAGATCACGCACTGCTCCATCCTCGCACATATGTTTGAGCCTGGACATCGTGTGGACCCCAACGAAGCCTTCCGTGTGATTTATGAGGTCCCTCCTAATTACCCTAAGCAACTGGGTCAGCGCTTACTAGCAACAGCAGACGCGACTGCCATCAGGCTGCGTAGTCCGGTCCTGTGTGTGAAGAAGAACCTCCTACACGTTCCGCGTCTGCCGTAGCCAAAGGTCGATTAACTGCATGCATGTCTCCGCGTCCCCGTTCCCCCCTCCCCTTCCCTCTGTGACACGGTTCTACCTAAACCTCACGGCCACTTACTGCCTCCACCCACTCACACATCCCGCTTGTATGAAAAGACTAACCGTAATCGATCTCTCCTATCGCTCACACGTTTTGCATTATACCTCATTCCCATATGTACTGGCCGGAGAAGAATTTATCTAAAGCACGCGTATGCTCGCCAAGTGGTTTCCGAAAAATGAAAATATTATCTCGCACCCCTGGTTGGGAAGTCCTGCTCTAGAACCACTCACACCCAGGCCGTGTTCCTTAGAGCGGCGGGACAGCGAGTAATCTATTGCTTACAACGCAAAGGACTTTCAGTGTCATCCCCAAGGGCACGAGAGCGAGGCCAAGGCATGTGTACATGTGAGGGCATGCCAACCAGTGCGTAAGCAGCGGTCCGGCGTCTTTAGGGGCACGCAGGTCTGTCCCACACATGCAGTCTACGCGTCTGGGCGCATGCACGTCACAAATAATCCCTTCCCCCCCCCCCCCCCCCCCCCCCCCCCCCCCCATCCAACGTGGCATGGCTGCCGAGACACCACAGCAACGTACGGGTGCAGCAGTATGGACTCTGAATCTCCCCCTCCACCATTCCTCCCACAGAAGATACGGAATGAGGGCGGATGCACTTTAGGGGGGAAACGACACCACTGTGCAGGCCCAAACGACGGCCATATTGGGCGGCCAGCCCCTGAAAATGGCCTCTTCGCGTCTGCTTTCGAGAGATGCGATGGTACACACGCACAGTCGGCTCTGCAGTCCTGGAGTGTTTTCATTTACCCCTCACTCAACTAGGGTAGTTTTGGAAGAGGCAATATTTTGCTCCTTATACTTGTCAATTCTTTCAATATTGCTGTATTTAGAAGGCGAGGTTGCCAGCTTACGTAGCTTTCGTGTGGCCAGTACAGTCACATGGGAACGGGGTAGAAGTAAAACATGTCAGCGATAAGAGAAATCGATAAAAGATCTCCTTAAAACACAGGCTGGTGTGGGAATGTGGGGGGGGGGAGTAATAGCAGCCAGTGTCAGGGGCGGGGTGAGAGCTGAAGGGCGCGGAGAATTGCAGAGTTAGTCGACCTTCGACCACTGTAGGCGCGAAGCCTGAACGTGATTCTTCTGTGCGCATAAGATCGGCTTTCGTAACCTAATGGAGGCCGCTTCTGCTGTCGCTAACAGGCGCTGGCCTAGTAGCTTAAGGTAGCTTAGTGGGACCCTATGAATCACACGAAAAGCTTCGTTGGGGTCCACATGATGTCCGGAATCGACAACATGCGCGAGAATGGCGCTGCTTATGCTCCTCGTTTCGCCTTTTCCCAGCCATGCCAAAAGGTGTTCCCGTATTCCCTTGGATAAGCGCCGACTCATGCGACCAAGGCCAAAGAACAACCTGACACAGGTCGCTGTCAAGGTCTTTGGTTTATTAAGGGCGACGTGGTGAAGGAATCGGCCTGAATTCTCAGGTGTGGCGGTTGCGAGGTCCACAAGGATTGGTTGTTTACGCCAGAGGAGGTGTTGCATGGAGTTGACTCACGACACAGCAGACTCAAGCTACACAAAACTTTGGTTCAGGAGGGATAGGTGAAGAATCGACCAGCCAGGTAGAGAGCGGTTGAACAGAGCTGGAGTCCAAGCTGAGTCCAAGTCCACCGGTATCGGATTTCGGAGTGGGCTGAAAGAGCAGCGTCGTTAGCAGCAGACTCTGTGGTTCAAGTTGTCGTCCCCAACTGCCAATGAAATGCTCCAACGATCCTATTATCCCAGAGTTGTACGCCATCATTTAAATGTGGTCAGTTCGGCGATAATTAGTTGGATTTGTAGCCACTATCTCTATCACCGCGCCAGTAAGCAGTTTAAAATGAGATTTCCAATGTGGCCGGCCACGGTACCCAGAACAGACACTGAAAGCGGTCATAAAAGTGGAAAGGTGGATACGGTCAGGTAGGTGAGTGCGAACCTCAGAAGCGACTGTGTAGAGGTGCGATAGGTCGACAACGAGAAATTTCCCAAATCAAAAACCAGGAAGACGGAATTAATAAAAAAAATCTTTGTTCATGTCGGCAGAGGGCAGGAGACGACGGCAGCGACGACTTTTCAACCGAGTTAGGAACCAGCTGTTGGTGTTGCGTCCTAGAGCGCGAGGTGATCGCGCGTGGGTGAGCGTTCTCTGGATGCGGCCAACCACGTTGTCGTCCGGAGTCACGTTACTTCCGATCCGGGGGCTAGAGCATACGCGACACAAGCATTCAACTGGCGAGGGGGAGTTCGCTAGCTGTCGCCACGCCGAGCGGGTCACTACAACTGAACAAATTACGGCAGGGTCGGTGAAGGTGTCTACCCAAACCTGTCGTCTTGGTGGTAGCTGGTCGTGTAACACATCCTAACTTATGCTGGCTCGGTGAGAAGCTTCAGTTTTACCCTGACTACACGGTCGAGAGGCTTGTTGAGTTCTTTGCACACTTGTCGTCTGGCCGTTAAAAGTATGATAGGAGATTTCGCTCCCGCATAGAGAACACGGATATTTTTTGTCGTTGCCGGCGGTAATCTAGAGCCCGGTAGGCAGTCGCACAGGGACTAGTAGTATATGCGGAAGACCGGAGTGTCCATTGATGGCCCATTAGCTGTCATATGCCAGTCATACCTAACCCCAGTTTTGCAATCCTTGAGATTCAAACTCACATTAGAAGTCCGACGCTCTAACCTTATCTCATCTCTAGTAAGACAGGCATTACCGTGTGAACAGGCTCGGTGAATCCCAACACTGCGGCTATCGGTCAGGATATTGCAGAAGCCTAAGCCGTGAGTGAGACCCTGGCTATCAGTACCTTCATGTCCGGTTCCGAATGGAAAGAGAAGATGGACGCCAGTTGGAAGGATGATGTATTCTGTACAGAATAACTGGAAAAAGGGTTGGAGAGAGTTAGCAGCAGGACGATGGCACGCCGCGTCGTGAGAACGTGGAGTCAGGGGATGTATTAAAGCGTCCTAAGCCAGGGCACGACTGACTCGGCCTCGAATCCGATTGACTAGTTGGAGACCCGAGTGGGTGAATGCCAGACAGCCCTGCTGAGCACGTGCAGGCACTCGCGAGAACCCAGCGTTGCTACAGGCTCTCGGAGTAGGACACTATAAGGACTATAAGAAGAAGAAAATTGGCTCTCCGGAGAGCCAATTTTCTTCTTCTTATAATCTTCCCGGATCTCTAAACTTTTCCAATCTGAACTATAAGGACTCGACCAAAATGTGGGAACAATGCCTATCTGAGAAGGGAACCAAGTTATGCAGAATACCGGCTACAGGTTAATGGGCAGTGATGTCAGTTAGGTCATTTATAAGGTCTGTTATAGGCGTCAGTTGTGCATATAAACAAAGGCGTCAGAGAATGCAAACAGTAGCACATAATACTTTCACGCCACCTTAGGCCTTCAAAATGTCTTCCGATGGGATAAGCGTCTCCTTGGAGCGATTCAGGTCAATTGGTGCCTACAAGGCAGGTACCCAGTATGCGGAAAACCGCTGTTCGAGATTCGCTAGGCTAGGTACTGCTAAATTCCAGGTAGCCAAAAAATTTGAGATAGGAGAATACTCCAAGTTGTCCCCTATCTGAACTCGTATCGGCTAACAAATTAAAGTGGTGCGGCCTACCAACTTGTTGATGAATCCGGAGTGACCCTGTCACCATCACGCGATTCCACCCCCAGTGACATTCAGCAACTGCCACCTCTCTCTCTCTATTTCTCTATCAGGCATGACTCACTGCACTCCACGGCCTCGTTTTCGGCCACCACCACCACCGCCACCACCACCACCACCACCACCACCAACAGGGCCAAATCTCAGGCAGAAGTGTTCATGCGTGCCCACAAGGAACAGACGCCTGAGCAAGAGTCTGTCTTTTTGGTCTGCTGTCTTTCGGGTGTGATCTCAGGAAGTTGCTGGAGGAGGCCGTGGCTTCGTTACTCAGAATGTTCGACGAGTTAGCAGCGGTGAAGTCATAAACTGGTTGTTAACGCTGCTTGGAAACAGTTTTGACTTAGAGTAAGCTACCCGAAGCTCCACCTTTAACTGCAAGCAAAATAATAACTGGATGGTGACGAGCGGCGTGAAATGGCATCTAGCAATTGCAAATCCTCTGCCCCCATTTAAGTCACCGAATTATGCCTGAAAAAGATAAACAACTTTCCGAAGCTGTGCAGGCTTGGGCCACGTCTCGTAAAACAGCAAAACAACGATAACTTTCATAAAGGGGAATGTCCGAGGCTAATCGACAAGTGTCGAGGAAACTGAGACGCTGGCATTTTCAGGTCTCATTTATGCTGAGATACCAACCGGTACGACCTGTGCCCTTGCAAGAAAGACCAACCTGTTCTGTGAAGCCCAGGAGAATCCGTTTTCCCGTTAGAAGTGCGCGAAAGCGTGGCAGGCGCGCGTACGAGTGGAAGTGTCCATCAGCCTATCAGCCAGGTCGTCCAGTGTCGACATCTGTGATTGGTCGATACACATGATTTCGCCCCTGCCTTCACGCGCGCTAGGTGGAGCCGGCGAGGGCGACACGAGCTGATGAAATCGTCCGCCATGACGTGGCCGCTAGGACGGAGGACCGGGAGCACGAGGCATAAGCATGAGCGTGAGACATGTCCGGTTTCGGGCACTCGCTATAGACGAAAGTTCCGACGATGGCGGCCGCGGCGGCACGGAGGACGGGTGACACAAGATGACGAAATCATTCGTCAGGATTACATGAGAGGACGAACTGGAACACAAGCTTAACACCGTGATTTTTCTCGATCAACTGGTCCGCTCTTATGCAGACTAAAAGCGATCAGAAAATTTTTTTCAGTAGAGGAGGGTTGTCACGCTACAAAGTTGACTAAGCGCACGGAAAACGTACCCAATTTCCAAACAAAAGGAGCTAGTAGTTCCATCTTTGGGGAGACGAAATATGAGAGAAAGATTGGACGCATGTACTTGGGGAGGTCGAATAAAAGCGCACTCCTGTGTCAGGTGGCAGACCGGATAGTTGGATTGCTTCGAGAAATAAGTTCAACCACCCCCTCAAAAGGTGAGCACAGTCGTGACTTGCGCTAAATTTACTACACTCCCGCCTCCCGCAACCATCGTGTTCCGATGATGAGACGAGGTCTAGGCGACCTGCGGTGAGTGTAGGCGCAGTGGTTGAAAAATTTCAGCAGACCGTCATGCCTGCCGCATATGAACTGGTCCATAACGCCACAACTGCCAGGCTTCATTCAGGGGGTCCTAGCTCTCACATACTTGGTCCAGTGCAAATTGACCCTCAATCCTGAGTTAAACCCATTTATCTCGTGGGTTAGCCATCTGTCAGGCCCCAACTAATAAGAAGGAGTACTAAAGCCTTCCCCTTACTGCGTGAGTTCGAATCCCACCGAGGCGCCGAGTTTTTCACAGTTGGGTCAATATGAATTATTCAAAATCTGCCAAAATATCTATGAATTACGTGAGCCTGGTAGTCATCTGGTGGATGCTAGGTGAATTACTTAGGAAATCCTGTTTGGGCAGTCATCTTACTGTATCAGATTTGGTGGATTCCGGACATTGCAGTAGGTTGGGCGGGTATCTTGACCCAAATGTGGTTGAACTTGCGTCGTCCGGCGGGGCCTCGTAGCTCAAGTGGTTAGAGCGTTGGCTGTACTAAAGCCGTCCCCTTACTGCGTGAGTTCGAATCTCACCGAGGACAGGACTTTAACCTGTCTGATAGGCTGAGCCGCGCCAGACTTACTGTGGTGAGAAATGCGCTGATTTTCCGTGAGGATGAATCCCACATTAATATCGACCTCGCTCGCTATTGTCTCGCCCATGCACTGATTTGCTGTCCGAGCCTGCTGACCAGTTGGTGATGAGGCTAGGCTGGGTGTCCGACGCGGCGTGTCACGCGCAGGTCCGACAGTAGTTAGTTACGGCAGTGCTGCTGACTGCAATGTGCCAATGTATCCCTGGCTTTTGTCTGTAAGAGTGTAGCGAGTTGACAGCTCGAGATTCCCAAATAAAAAGTCAAGGAAGACAAAATTTGGACAGCCATCACAGTGGTTTTCAGTCCGCGCGTCGATTTTTACGATGTCCACCGTGTGCTCCACAGCAGGGTGAAAGCGGGCACGGCCACGATCGCGTGAATTAGTTTATAATAGGAGTGGACTTGCGCTGCATCTACCGCACTCTCTTCTCCTCCCCACCTGGGCCCGGTGTCAACAGGGAGTCAACAAGACTGCAGGTGACTGGCACGAAGAAACTCGCACCTGGGCGCACCACCGCACCCCCTGCCAACAACAAACACTTCTCGTGACCCCAAACCATTACTCAAACTCCGTTTTTTTTGAAAAGTGCTTTCTGCCTACTTTTTACTTAACGCGCTCACTTCCGTTGCTATACTAAAGCGCGCGATAAGGCTTTCGGCAAAAATGAAAACAACCTCTGTGTTTTCTTGCACTTCGTCAGTTCACTTTCTGGCGTCCTACCCAACCCGTGAAACCCCCCTTACCACCATTCCCTTATGACACAATACACCCTATCGCTGTCTCACGTCGTGTCGTCAATAAATATTCCCGATCACAACCGACACGACAAGGTGCCCGTGATTCAATTACAGGACCTTTAATCGGAGATTTTCGCGTAGGGATACGATACAACTGCGTTGTCTTAGAATGAGCAATATCCCATGACCAAATAATCTGACATCGAATCCGAAGCCCTGCAAATATAGAAATGACTATGGCAGCCTGACGACGGCTGCTAGGCCTTTTCTTTGTCGGTACCCCTTCCTGCATGATTATTATTTGCTATGTTAACGCCTGTGAGGGTTCCAGATTGAGCCCGAAGGCGCAACGGGACGAGTACGTCCCAGGATCTGGCCGGCGGACACACCCCTCGTGACAGTCAAAGAAGGTCTTAAAAAGACTTTCGGCATTGCTGTAAAAATTACAACGCCTATTTAAAATTATCTTCTGGAGGGCAACCTTGATAGTGGGGGTAAAAAATGAGCGCCGAAATTCTAAAAGGACATTGGGCGAAACGATTGCCTCCTCCTCCTCCTCCTCCTCCTCCTCCTCCTCCTCTTCCTCCTCCACTACTTCGCTCATTCCCCTCACCTTTATCCTTGTTACTATTTTCCTTATCACTAAGTGATTCTGTTACATTCCCTAAAAACCTCAGCGGTCCAAGTTCCTTCATCTAAAGCGAGGATTTCACACCGCAAGATATAGGGCCAGGTGCCTAAATAAGATTAAAGGAATCCGACAATGAACTGGCAGCGAGAACTTTGTAGTATTCTACATGGAGGACACAAAGTCCCGAAAGCCCCAGCCTGCCTACCACCCTGATTGACGGACACACAGCCAGGCAACGGATGGCAGAAAGCGAAGGCAAATTTTTTGGAGCCGAACTGCAAAGTACGGAGTCTCACACTTGAAAAAAAGAGCTATCGTGACTCACCAAAGACGGTTCGACGTGGGTTGGACCCCGTTACGTGATTGTCACCGTCCCAGATCTCGCCCGACTGCAGAGCACGCTGTGTACCTCGTGTTTAACGACGGTATGTTATACTGAGGTATTCCGACTGCGTTAGCCAGTATTACACATGCTTGCCGCATATTCCGGCCACCCGCTGTGATATACGACGCCGGAGATAACTTTAAAGAAGGACATTATACTGATTTCCTGGCTACCCCAGTTAAAAAAAATAGCAAGTTTACTTCAGCGTAAGCTGATGCCATATTAACAGCACAGGTACTAACCAAAAGCCCATACACGCGTGTTTCGCCTATATTCCGCCGCTGCACGGCGCATCTGCGAGGGGTTTGGCTCGTCAGTGGGTCCTCCACGCGGTTACCCGCTGTGGCTGATGGATTTCGGCCCAAATATTCATGCATGAAATTCTCGGTCTGAGCATAAAGACCTTGAATAAGCTGATCTACTCCAAGTTCGTAGATAATTTCAGAGGATAGTAAAAAGCAACAGCAGCAAGTTTTGCAAAAAACTATGGTGTATTACGCGCTTTCTGATGTGTGGGTCTGCAAAAGCTTCAGATCCACAGCTAAATCATAACCCTCAACATCTGAATTATACAAGGCAAGCATAAGTGTTGGCTATGAAGTAAACGTGCCCGACAACATCGTTTTATCTCTACACACTCATTTGTTCTCTGGTCACATTTTCACCCTTTTTCGTTAGCCTACTTGTTCCAAGTTCTCGTTGATTGTAGAAGAAGTCCGGAAAGCTGAGTAATTTTGCCAGTCAACCTCCTCCTGTTCGTCTGCGAATGGAAAATAACCAACCCGTGTTCAGGGCCGTCCTGGAAGCAGCTTGCTTGATGAGTCATTCCCGCGCAGAGAAGAGTGATTTACGCATTCGGTAGGGAGCGCCACTGGGAACAAAATGCGCAGTACTGATTGTAACGACGGGACTTCAAGGTCGTCTCATGAATACAGTACAGGAAAGTCTACGTACCCTGTTGGCAGCACAGCTAAACGACCTTGGAGTTCAATAGCTTCCGCTGCCTTCCGAAGCCATGTTTAAATGCGCGTAGGGAGAGGACGCCTTTCCAGTCAGCCCAAGAATACCGAAGGCTAGCCGGGGTAGAAAAAAATCCGATGGGCAAGGTCGAAAACGCAATGAAAGCTATAGAGGTAAACATGAAAAATGCGTACCCACTACATTTGCCGGCGAACGTATTTTGAACGTTTTTTGGCGTGTAATTCTGGTGAGCCAGTACAGTGTAGGTCTACGTACTTTTCCATTTATGTTTTCGCCTTCCCTTATAAACCTTAACTTCTCAACACCCGTATTTGAATGTGCTAGAATACTCAGATGTACTTTGTCATGCGTGGATTCATCCGAATAGCTAGCACTATTAATGGGATTAGCTTGGAACTTTTTGGAATTACCTGGAGGAGCTTTGCTTTATATAACGACTTAGCACCTGAGAGGACTTTACTTTTAAGGAGTTTGTACAACAATTTACGTTCATCTTTTTTCCCATTCGTTTAGCTCTGCCATTATTCGTAGGTTAAACGCCGCATAACTCCATTTGCAGCTAAGCTTTTGTTGCTTAGAATATATCTGTGGATTTAATCATTGTTTACACTTCAACAGTAACAAAACAGGAACAGGGGATCTGAATGCTGTGTGCTATAATTTACGTGTCTGTTTTTTCCCGCAAGGTGGTGAAAGGGGAGAATATAACAATTGAACGACCTATCAGTGAAGCATGAGGAATGGAATCGACAAATGTGTCTCGAAACGGAAAAAATACAGCTACAGGACCCCCGGAACAATTGGATGGGTTTTTCTGAGTATACGAAGCGACTTAAATGGGAGAACTCGAATGCCTTACCCGCGGCGAACTTGCGCGTATTCTCGGCAAACTCTCTTCTCCCTACTGTTGGAGGCAAAGACCGACTGCCGTTATCGGCCACACCGAAGTTTATTTATTCATTTACCCGTTTCTGTGGGGCGGGAGACATTGGACGCAAAATGAGGCGTCTGGAAAAGTGGGTACTCGAACACGTCTGTCTGGCTAAGGGGAAAATCGATCGATCTCAAATTCAGTTCTCGCACACCTAATCCACACGAACCACCAGTTTGACGCAGAGAAGTCCTTCAAGTCATCTATCGGGCGCCAGCACGCAACAACCGAGGCAGTGGCTATTCGGTTAGCGAATCCAAGGTTCTGTTGTCAGAAGACGTTGAGATACAGACAGTCTGTCTTCCCTGACCGGCTCCAGGTTGTGATCGCACGCCGCCCGAACGCCCTGAAGACAGTCACGCGCGCTCCGTGACAGACAGCGCTCACACCCTACCCCCGAACACCTCCCTCCCTCTCTCCCACCCCCCTCCCCCTGCCCAGCTCCAACGTTCTCAACACGCTGACTTCGTCATGCAGGCGTGGGAACAGAGTATGACTAGCCCTGAACCTCCCCCCCGGAACATAAATCCCCTCCGTAGCTCAAAAGTTCATTATCCGTGTAATTGTAGTAGCCCTATGTTGAATCACAAAATCTTCATCAGACCAAAACAGTTACTTAGACGTTGAAAATATGCGGAGTTCACAGGGTTTATAAGTGACTCAGGGGCTATTACCACTCATCGTTCCCAAGCTGCCTGCATGGCGAGGTCGGTGTGTTATGGCCATTGGGTCAAGGGGTGAGGGGGAGGGGTAACAGGCTGTGAGTGATGTTTGTACGTCGGGTACGTTGAACACAGATCAGTGCCATCAGGAGGTTGGGGCGGCGTGCAATCATAATCTGGGGTCGGTGTTGGCCACGGAAGATAGTGCACCTGTGTCAACGTCTTCTGACAACATAGCACTGGATTGGCTAGCCGTATAGCCACTGCCTCGGCTGTAGCTAGCACCCGTTGGTGTAGGCCTCTGAAGAAGCTTGCTTCTTTGACATCGACTTGGTGATTCGTATCGACAGGATGTGCGAGAATAGAACTCGAAATTGATTTCTTTTAAACTCCACCTAGCCAGGCCGGTATGTGTTCACGTACTCTCTTTTCCAGGCGCCTCGTTGAATGATGAGTGTTAATAATCCCTGAGTCAATTATAAACTGTTTTGGCCTGTTGGCGAGTTACCGAAAACACGTGTTTGTCAAAGTGACTTTTCAAATGTAACATGGGAATATTCGCAAAAGCATGTTTTTCAAGTAAGTTCATTCAGAATACATCACCGACAAAGAAAAGGGAGACTGAAATAGTCATTTCTGGCTTATTAGTTGTCGTTAGCCCGCCATATCCAACCCCGAAGTGTAGAACACCAGGGGTTCGACTATGCGACCTGTTAATTTGAAGTTCGACGACCCTAGCCACCGAACCACGGGCTCGTTTGCCTGTCGGCTTATTCAGTTTAGGATATTGTTGTTTTAACCGCTGCTTACACCGCAACAGTAATTAAACAGGGATACGGTTTTTAATGTGCCGTACTATAACCTAAGTGTATGTGTTTCCTTTCATTCAAGATGATGGAAGGGGAGAAAATAGCAACTTAACGACTTATCAGTAGAGCGTGAGGAGTGAATTTGACAAATGCGTCCACAGATGTCCCTGAATAATTGAGTGGGTTTTTGGAAGATGCGAAGCGACTTAGAAGCCGACGGATATTTTCTAGAGCAGCCTCGCCACACAGAAATTCATACTTTGACCACTTGAGGATGTTTCAGCAAAACAGGCTGCTCAACTAAGAAGTCCATGCACTCATCCACATTTGTGCAGTAGGGAGTCAGTAGTGGCAGTCACTGCTAAGGCCTTGGGGATACTCTAAATTTCCGTCCACAAGCCCCAACTCTGTAGCTAACCGTATATGTAACTTTGAGTGTAGACTTAACTCTAGATCTAACCCTGAAGGTGACCCTATGCCTAAGCCTAACAATAAGCGTCACTCAAACCCTAGGTGGCTGGGAGACAATAATCCGCAGACATCTGTTTTTGCGATTTTAGCAATCGAACCCTATGAGGTGCACATCTCGGGGCTGGGTATGGCCGGCTGACGACGGCCAGTCAGCCAGAAATGGTCATTCTAGTCTCCCTTTTCTGCGTCCGTAATGCTATTCTGTCTATATTACGCACCCCTGTACGGCTGTTGGAGGGGCTCAAGAGAGCGAGAGCCCCAAAGCACACACGAGACGAATGAGTCCCACAGTGCGGTCGGTGAGCGCCCCCTACAAATCGACTTTATATTACTTTTGGCAGAATTCATGAAGTTAAATATATTGCTTCAGTTCTAACAACAAACACCTCATTTCTCTGCAAATTCAGTCTATTTGGGACAAATCCATACATACTTACGCGTTATTAATGTATAAGAAGATAGACAAAGGGTTGGTTCGAACGGAGAAGCCTACCGGTCTAAGTAGCACGGGAAGCGAGCAGGCGATTCTCATAAAACCAAAATAAAATAACCACTTAAGTAGTCATGTCATTTAGTTCGAACTGTAGGCGCGCTTGAAAAGGACGCAAACGGTTTATTAAAGCAGGTTCTAATGTAAGAAAATAAGTTGCACGAAAAACGAAAAAATCCGTCTAAATGTTGCTGTGGAAGTTTACTGAGTCACCACAGGTCGAGCCAACTCCTTAGCTACGGCT